AGGAGGACATCAAAAAGCCTAAAAAAGGCTTAAAAAGTTTAAAAAAGCTTTAAAATCTTAAAAATCAACCCAAACAGACTTAGAAAAGGTTTTAAAAAAAGCTAAAACAGCATTAAGATGCTTTAGAACCTTAACAAAGCATAAAACAGCTTAAAAAAGCTTAAAAAGGTGTAAAAAGCTTAAAAAATCCTAAAAAAGCTTAAAGGAAAACATCAAAAAGCTACAAAATGGCTTAAAAAAGTCTAAAAAAGGCTTTAAATAGTTTGAAAAAGCTTAAAAATCTTAAAAATCAACCTAAACAGACTTAGAAAAGGTTTTAAAAAAAAGCTAAAACAGCATTAAGATGCTTTAAAACCTTAACAAAGCATAAAACAGTTGAAAAAAGCTTAAAAAGTTTTAAAAAGTTTTAAAAAGTTTTAAAAAGTTTTAAAAAGTTTTAAAAAGCTTAAAAAATCCTAAAAAAGGTTAAAGGAAAACATCAAAAAGCTACAAAATGGCTTAAAAAATCCTAAAAAAAAGCTTAAAAATATTTAAGAAGCTTAAACAGCTTAAAAATTTCACTATTTATTGTATATTTAAAGTTATAGCTTTACATTTTTTAATGTTAAGGAATCAATTATTACGCCTACACCAAACTAGTAACTGATCTGTTCCTGAAGAAATAGACAGTCACATATGCCAGAAATTTTAAAAAATAGCTTTGAATCATCTGCAAACAAGAGTTTTTGACAAGAAATTAAATCCGTAATATCGTTGATAAAGAATAAAAAAGGTAAGGGTCCTAAATGAGAACCTTGGGGCATCCCTGACGTAGCGAAAAATAGTTTTAAAACTCTCATGATCAATTGCTCTCTGATACAGTTAACGAATATCAATTTCTAGACCTTTTTTGACCTTTTTTATACCTTTCTGACATTTTTTTACCTTTTTGGCCTTTTTTTGACCTTTTTTGACCTTTTTTGACCCTTTTTGACTTTTTTTTGACCTTTTTTGACCTTTTTTTGACCTTTTTTTGACCTTTTTTTGGCCTATTTTGGCATTTTTTTTACCTTTTTTGACATTTTTTTTAACCTTTTTTACCTTTTTCTGATCTTTTTTAAGAGAGTTTTTGCGAAAAGCATTCTGGCATTTTAATTTTTAATTTTTTTTGCAGGACCGACTAGAGGCGGGTGGTAACCGGGACAAATTCCCGGGGCAAGGGCACAAGTGGTGGCCCGGCAGCGGCACAAGGGGTGTCTGAGAGCTTTAGATAAGGACGTTTTTTTTTACCTTTTTTTGGACCATTTTTTACCTTTTTTTAACCTTTTTTAATCTTTTTTAACCTTTCTTAACCTTTTTTAACCTTTTTTAACCTTTTTTAACCTTTTTTTAACCTTTTTTTAACCTTTTTTAACCTTTTTTTTTAACCTTTTTTAACCTTTTTTAACCTTTTTTTAACCTTTTTTAACCTTTTTTAACCTTTTTTTAACCTTTTTTAACCTTTTTTAACCTTTTTTAACCTTTTTTTAACCTTTTTTAACCTTTTTTAACCTTTTTTTAACCTTTTTTTTTTAACCTTTTTTAACCTTTTTTAACCTTTTTTTACCTTTTTTAACCTTTTTTAACCTTTTTGAACCTTTTTTAACCTTTTTCAACCTTTTTTTTAACCTTTTTTAACCTTGTTTAACCTTTTTTTAACCTTTTTTAACCTTTTTTAACCTTTTTTAACCTTTTTTTAACCTTTTTTAACCTTTTTTAACCTTTTTTAACCTTTTTTAACCTTTTTTAACCTTTTTTAACCTTTTTTAACCTTTTTTAACCTTTTTTAACCTTTTTTAACCTTTTTTAACCTTTTTTAACCTTTTTTAACCTTTTTTAACCTTTTTTAACCTTTTTTAACCTTTTTTTAACCTTTTTTAACCTTTTTTAACCTTTTTTTAACCTTTTTTAACCTTTTTTAACCTTTTTTTAACCTTTTTTAACCTTTTTTAACCTTTTTTTAACCTTTTTTAACCTTTTTTAACCTTTTTTTACCTTTTTTAACCTTTTTTAACCTTTTTGAACCTTTTTTAACCTTTTTCAACCTTTTTTTTAACCTTTTTTAACCTTGTTTAACCTTTTTTTAACCTTTTTTAACCTTTTTTAACCTTTTTTAACCTTTTTTTAACCTTTTTTAACCTTTTTTAACCTTTTTTAACCTTTTTTAACCTTTTTTAACCTTTTTTTTTTTAACCTTTTTTAACCTTTTTTAACCTTTTTTAACCTTTTTTAACCTTTTTTAACCTTTTTTAACCTTTTTTAACCTTTTTTAACCTTTTTTTAACCTTTTTTAACCTTTTTTAACCTTTTTTTAACCTTTTTTAACCTTTTTTAACCTTTTTTTAACCTTTTTTAACCTTTTTTAACCTTTTTTTAACCTTTTTTAACCTTTTTTAACCTTTTTTTACCTTTTTTAACCTTTTTTAACCTTTTTGAACCTTTTTTAACCTTTTTCAACCTTTTTTTTAACCTTTTTTAACCTTGTTTAACCTTTTTTTAACCTTTTTTAACCTTTTTTAACCTTTTTTAACCTTTTTTTAACCTTTTTTAACCTTTTTTAACCTTTTTTAACCTTTTTTAACCTTTTTTAACCTTTTTTAACCTTTTTTAACCTTTTTTAACCTTTTTTAACCTTTTTTAACCTTTTTTAACCTTTTTTAACCTTTTTTAACCTTTTTTAACCTTTTTTAACCTTTTTTAACCTTTTTTAACCTTTTTTAACCTTTTTTAACCTTTTTTAACCTTTTTTAACCTTTTTTAACCTTTTTTAACCTTTTTTAACCTTTTTTAACCTTTTTTAACCTTTTTTTAAGAGAGTTTTTGCTTGAGAACTTTCTTTTTGACATGTGATATTGGAAGGGCTTAATTTTTATTTATAAAATTGTCGCGAGGCTCCACCTGAAGTAATTTCTTTACCTAGATACATTTCAATAAGCAGATCATCCAATTTTATTTTCATTTTGTAAATACAATTGATTAAACTGTTTTATTAGGGCAACTACCAAAATAATTGTTTATTTTATGATGCATTAAATTGAAGCTCGAGTCGAAACCACAAAATACGTTAGAAAAAACGAAATAGCGAGGCATATAATGACTTTCTATATTGTTTTAGAGGAAATGTTGTCTTAGTTGTTTTATAAAGTGTTAACTAATTACTTTTTGCTCTAAATAGGAAAAAAAGGGGTATTATTAAATGACACCGGTGCTTATACAGGATATTCCGTGAAGAAAGTGTTATAATTAACTGCATTATAGTAAAATACAGGGTGTTCCATAATGCATAAAAATTCTGATATAAAAATTGATGATTTGCTAAACAAAATGGTAAAAGGGGTAGAAGTTAAACTAGGATGAGGATCATTTTATGAAGATCCACACATTTTTCTTTGTAATTCAAAAAGAAAACAACAGTTTCCAATTCCATTTGTGAAAACTGAAGTAAAAATGGAAGTTACCAAAGTTTGAGCAAGCCAATTGCTGTGTACCCGCACTGAAGATATATCTGGATTGTTTTATATTTGTTATTATGTCTTCTAACTCTTTTTTAATTTCTTTATTTATTCCAATTCTATATTTTTCTTCTGTGATTGTTATTGGTTCTGATAATGGCTTCTCTATAATTCTTAGATCTTCTATCTTTGTACTCATTGTTTTTGCTGCGTTATCAAGTTTTTGTGGCTTTATTTGTAGTGACTGTATTTAAATTTTTATTTTCCTATTAATGATAATATTAATTATAAATATTTTCTAATATAGACATGGAATTTTTACAAAATAATATATCCATATGATTATTATTTCAATCATACATTTCTCGAAATGTTTTCTGAACCAGTTTACCAATTATTTATTAATTAGTTATTTATTCAAGAAAATAATAAATTATATTTAATGAGAACATTGCAACAGCAATGTTATCTAGTTTATTCTATTAGTTGTTACAAATTTATTATAGTTAATCTTACAATAATTATTTATATAAAAAAAGGGATATTAAATTATTATTTTTTATGAGAAATTTTTAGCAAACTTTGGTTTTAGCTATTGTCACTGCTAAAAAATACTATCGCGTGGAATGGAATTAGTGTGCACATATAGTGGTCCAGTCAATAAAAACAATAAACATAATAAATGCTTATTGCCTCAAACATCGGCGAAAAAAATTACCTTCTTTGTGTAACCAATTTAGTAATTATTATATGTTAAAATTATTATTAATGAACAAGAAAAACAAATGTAAATTAGTTTATAAATTACATTTACTGTAAAGAGAGGAAATTGCACAGAAATCTCGTTTAATTGACACAACATTAAACAAGTTTATGAATATGCAGAATGTATATGTATAGAAATCTATAATATGAGGGTTAATCGTTATTTTATCAATTTCTTGGAGATTACTAATGCTATGGATAAACCAAAATGATAACAATATTACCTATGATTTGGTTAGTATTTTGATAAGAAATGTAACTTATCAAAACGGATGTCTGACTGAATAGCAATTTTTCTATGCCAAAAAACAAAAATTCAGATTTATTTGCCGTACTTTCTTTTGTATAAGAACAATGCGTGGACCTTCGATTCAAACCGTTTAATTAATAATTGCCACCCGGTATACTTCTTGTATTTATTCTGAAAGTTCTATCGAATGATGTTTTGCTACAAAAGTGTAATAATAAATAAAAGAATGTACATATTTTTATTACTAGATTGGTTTTTGAAATGTATTTATATCTAATTTACCACTGTTCAAATCCTAGGGGTCAAATCAAAAATTCAAATTGTTATTTCAATATTTTTGTATAGTTTTTCATTGCAGGATCTTGTTTTTTTATATATTAAATCACGACCAAAAACTGTAGGTTCCTACTGTCCAAAATTTATAGAACAACAACAAATATAATCAACAAAATTTAGTTACTTTCCTTTTCAAAAAATTGAAATAAAATAGGCACATATAATATGAAAATACTTACATTCCAATCATGTATTTCAGTCAATCTGTTAGCAACAACACATCCAGCACTTCCAGCACCAACCACTATGAAATCGTACTCTTCTACGTTCCCTCCTTGGTGTCCAAAATCGGAAAAATCCGAAAAACCTGATTGGAACCCAATCGGCGAACTGAACCCATAATCGAACCCGAATTTCCCAGAATCAGCATCTTCCGAGTATCCCATAAGATTCGCTACTAATTGTAAAAATAGAAACGTGGAGGGTTGACAGGTGGTGATATTAGTGTGTACCGCACAAGCTTGAGACAAATCGGGAGGCACCCATGTTTGCACCATCGTTGCACTTATCTCTGACTAGAATGAGAGTGAATGGCGATAGATCTGGAGTATTTTAACTTTCGCGACAGACTGAAGGTGATTATTCGTCGGCGTTTTCAGTCAACCTTCTTGGATATTGCCCTGCCATGTCTTACAACAATGTTAGAAGGGGATTTTTTAAATAATTTACAGGTGACAAAATGTTATTACTTATTAACACTATAGTAATAACTTTTAATAATTATATTAATAACTAGGGGGCAGGATATACAGTGTGGCTCAAATTTTATGCGAATATATTTGAAACTGTTCATAGTAGATTCGCAAAAATGTTATGTAAGGCGACTGAAACAAAATTTGTGATTTTAAACAGTTGTGGATCTTATTTTAATCCCTTTTAAGGTTGGGTAAATTTCCTGATCTATTTTCGATATCTTATTCTGTCTATTACGATTCTAGTGAGACATTTTAAATACCTAAAAGTTGCATTTTCTAAATTATGCTGTAACATTTTTATTGTTCCCTATTTTTGCTGTCTGTAAAAACATTTGCGGAGTAACTTTTTATGTAGATTTCAGTTCTGCAATTAGATTTTAAATATGACATGACCATTATTAGGTTAATTTTTTCTTATTGACGCTACCCAGACAACACACCAAATCCCAGAGATATCCACAGAATATATTTTGTGGATATCCAATATATCCACAGGATATCAGAAATATTCCGTGGAACTAATATGGATATCCAAATGTCCGTCTATATCCAGAATATAGAAGATATCCTATGGATATTTAGCAAAATATCTAATGAGTATCTCCAGACAATACAAGAAATCCCAGATATATCCATAGAATATATTTTGTGGATATCCAACCAAATGTCCGTCTATATCCCAGGATATAGAAATTCAGATAAATATGTTATAATTATTTTTAGTAGAGGTTCCTAAGTAACCAATGGTTATTGAATAACGTCGAAAGAAAATAAGAGGTAAAAAATATTCCCAACAATCTGCCTTTGATTTTGCCTACTAAGGAGAAAATCATCGTTATTAGGAATCTTCAGCAATAAATGGAACTTCTCGACTTCAGTCTCTAATGAAGTCTGTTTGTGAAACAATGTCGATCAAACTCAATTACGGCGGGTTAAGCATGAGTAGATACGAAAGTGGTATCGCCATCTATACTTAGGAAGCAAAATCAAAAATTACATCTAGTAGATATCCACGATGGTTTGCGTCCGCGCTTAGACTTTGATATATTTATATTTATAGTGGATGTCCATGGGATATTGAATACACCTTAAAAAAATTAATTTTAAATATCTCAACGATACTACAGTTCATCAAATTTCTAGAGGTGTTCGACGCCCAGACAGAGAACGCGCTACGTATGACTGAGATAGCTATTGTACAGTCTGCTAAACAAGTTATTTTAAATAGTTTTTAATATTTTTAGGTAATTAAATTTTAAAAATGTGGAATAGTTTAGGGATTAAATTGGTCTGATTGGACTTTCTTAGAACGTTTTTAAAAGCAGCTAAAGATAGTATGTAGAATTGAAAATAATTATTATGCCATAAAAGGTGTTTTGGAATTCCTTCAACCTTTTGAAATTGAGTCAGAAAATATAAATTTTATAGGATAGCGGAAAATACCTATAATTTTTTTGTAGGCCTTTGTAAATCGTGGAAATAGTTTATATTTTATTTCTACCTTATTAAGGAAAATGGTACCTATTATTAATAACGGTTGTTTCTGAAACATTACTAAAATTTTCGAAATTTTGTTTTTCTACAAAATAATAAACTATACTATTTAGAAAAAAATTTATTTCTCTTATAATTTTATAAAAAATAACAGGGGAATATTTACATTTCTTGATCTATTAAACAAAACGATAAATTATCTCGACGAATGACACCATGTTCTAGTACGGAAGCTAGCTTTACATTTTTGTTGGTGGTTTCATGGGTTTCATAACAATTTTTTGTAATTGTAGTTTACACGTACATATACCTCTTAACACTTGTTTGCTTTATTAAAAAAGTGTGTTGTTGTGATTTACGTCGAAATAAGTCAAAAACAACTTGAAACCCCATATAAAATCAAAAAGGAGAAACGGAAAAAAATTGAGCCTGTAAATGAACACAACTCAGAAACAAAAATAGCTATCTAATAACAAAAAAATAAAATTTGATTCTTGTGCAGCTTCATCTATATCAATAACTGTTTTTGGTTTTTTAATGGTTTTTCTTGGTGATGAAAATTCCGATATCTCACGGTTATCGATTCTTTTTTTCTCTCCAGAAATGCGGACGACAGTGTTATTAGATACTCCTGTGGCTGCAGCAACACGATCATTTACATTTTTAAATGGTATTGAAGGTGAATTAAAGTTTCCTTCTCTTCTCATAAACTCTATAACATTGGCTATTATTTCGCGAGATTGACTGTTAATCACGCGGCCTCTTAATTTGCTATTAAACTCCATACTTAGGTTTTATTAAACTGTAATGAGCAAAAAACACAAACGAAAATAAAAGAAATGTTTTAGCGAAATTTACATCTGACATTTACGTCTGAATGAAATAGTGAAATACTTGATGCGCAGAGTGTACTTTCATTGCGTAAATCCGTCGGGATGCCTGTCAGTAGTGCTTTCTCTGTCTAGCCGTCGAAAGCCTCTAGAAATTTGATGAACTGTATTAGCCACAATGGCGAGTACAATGGCGTAATTTTTTAATAATTTGCTATATAATTACAATTATTTATGGACATTTGCATGTCTATAAATTACATTTCATGGATATAAAATAGATATCCACCATGGACTGGACATTCAGTGGATATTGGGATGTTCAGTAGATATCCAAAGGATTTGGTGTGCTGTCTGGGTATATTGCATTTTATACTTGAAAGCTTTACAACAATGTATCACTTATTGGTAAATAAAGAACATACAATTTTGAAGTTAAATTTTGGTTAAATTCAGCCTATTGTTATTATTTGAACTGGTAGGCGAAGAAAGATTTTTATCCAAAAGCAATAAATATGCAAAAATTTCACTTAGATGTTTAATAATATCATATCTTTTATTAATGCAGGCATTTTGAGCAATATGCACCATTTCTAAGAAATGTATTTTGTCTAGACGAGACTCCTTTTTTAAAACTTTGATATCTTGGAAGTTGATGGTGTGGTTATTGAAAATGCTTGATTTGCTAATGAAAACGTTATGCGTTCTTTTAATGGTTTTGTGGTTTAATCTATATATAATAAGGTACTCAGACAGTAACAGCTCAAAAGGTTCTTATAAGAGACCCTGGCTACAATTCTGGATAGAAAAATATCTATCATTTCTAAAAATATTCGTTCATTAATTTTCTATTTTCAAGGTGTATTATTTTTAGTGTTAAGGTAACCGAAATACAATCTACTTATTAACCTTTAAATATATTGTTACGGTTAAAACTGTCTAACCAAAATAAATACGCATTGGGTCAACGTAAAGTTTCCAAATTTGCGTATCTACATCGTAACCGTATAATTATGAAATGTATCAAATTTTTAAGACCCAGTCTAATCGATTTTAATTGAAGGTTATATCATATTATTTACCGCTTTTAATAAGTTTTTTTTGTAAATGTATTTTACATTTTTTTTTGGTCAATTTAGTAATGAATGAATTTCCGTAGCGTCTCAAAATGATGGTTGCAAAATTTATTTGAATTCGCACTTGTAGAAATCTTGTAGAAATTCTGAAAAAAATATTATATAACTTTTTGAGTAATAGACAATAATTTAATAGAACAAAGTTATATCATATTAAAAAAATATTTCAGAAACAAAGTGTTTATTATTCTAATGTTTTATGATATACAACATTCTTTGTTTTTTTTTTCTGGACAATAACAAACACAACAAAAAAAGAATTAGCGAAATCGGTCCAGCCGTTCATGCGTGATACCATGACCAAGGGAAATAGGGATTCATTTATATATATATAGAAATTTTCTAATTTTCCGCGCCATTTTCTTAATGTTTTCTTTTATATGACCCTTCTCCTGACAATAGCAAACATAACAAAAAAAGAATTAGTGAAATCGGTCCAGGCGTTGTTGAGTTATGCCTACTAACACATTTTCTGATTCATTTTTATATTATAGATAAAATTGAAGTTTATGTCTTCAAAAATATAAAAAACGAACAATAACATCAAATTTCACATGTTACCCTCCCCTTAGACCCTTTAAAAAAATTGGAGTAACATTTTTAAAAGATTTTAAAAGTGTCCATAGATTATAAAATCAGAAACGGTGTACCTGAGTACGGCCCATCTAATCAAAAAGCGTTTAGCAATCCTCCGCATGATCACCCTTCAATTTACAATCTATCCTGTATAATTTTTTCTCATTTACACTCGCTAGTTATACAACATTATCAGAATTAACAATATATATCGCTATTACACCGATATCGTAACTTTAGACATTGCCTATTTGGAATGTAGCTACGTCACAAGCTCGGATTTCAGATTCCGGCCTTTTGACACAGGGTTGCCAGAGCCCTATTAGGTTCGTAATAGATTTACCACCACCAGTTTTATTCAATACAAGACAATATATAGTTTATGTTACAATATAGAATCAATCACCAAGTAATAAATAGTTTCAATACGCAATATTAATCTTTATTTATGTTCTAAGTGACACGAACGTCAAATTTAGTACCTAGTTGATAAATAAATATAGGAACAGATTTCTCATGAACGATGCAACACTGTACGAGATTACAGACAACTATACATTTGTGCAGTGTTGCATTGTTCATGAGATAATCCACTATTTCTACATAGATGCTTGAGGGTAAACTATGATTACTAAACGAAGAATTTAAAAAGACTTGCCGCGTTTGAGAATCCACATCGGGGGGGCTATTTTCAAACTCGAGAGAATTCATTTCTCTCAAGAGAAATGTCATACGTCAACGTAAAACCGTATTTTTAGGGCTCTTAGGGCCAGTGTGAACTCACTGACTGTTTCTCTCGGTTTATTTAGAGAAT